AACTGCCCTCCATGTTTGCCGAGCACCATTCTAACTTTCAACATGGGACTTCTGTCTGTCTGCTGGACACCAACATGTGTGGGGGACAGTGTCTGAAGTCACTCAGGGGAAACTGAATCTGTCTCCCTCCTCACAAGACTTTCTACTTCCTTATTTCCATGAACAGCAGCATCTTCAGCCACACAAGTGAAAAAATGGCACTTGTCTCTCTGGGGCACTTGTCTCTGGTTGGTCCTGTCTTCCCTTTTAAAAATTTAATTTTTTTTTCTTTTCAGTTATATATGCAAATATTGTTTCATGATGCAAGTCTTTTAGTTCTGGAAAATTTTCTTGAATTTTAGTACTGTCTCCCTTTTTTCCTTCTCTTTCTGGAACTTCCATTATCCTGTTGTTGAAACTTGTGGACTGGTCCTCAAGTTTTCTTATGGTTTCTCTCTCCTGTTTTCTATTTTCTTTGTCATGTTGCTATACTTTCTAGATTTCCTCAAATTAATTTGACTACATTTTTGTTGAGTTTATTTCTGCTATCATATTAAAAAAAAATTTTTTTTAATTTTATTTATTCTGAGAGAGAGAGAGAGCACAAATGGGGAGTGGCAGAGAGAGGGAGAGAATCCCAAGCAGGCCCATGTTGTCAGCAGAGCCTGATGCAGGGCTTGAACCCATGAACTGTGCTATGACCTGGGCTGAAATCAAGAGTCGGATGCTTAACCAACTGGGCCACTCAGGCACCCCTCATTTCTATCATATTATTCATTTATATGAAAAAAAATTTAAGTGTAATATCCTCTATAACCATTTATCTCTGAGGATATTCATAGATTAACTTCCTAACAGCTTAATCTGTCTAGTTCGTTTTGGCCTCTCTTCCATGTTAGAGACTTTCCCCAAATGCCTGATGATCCTTGGCTGTTCACTCATACTTAAGAGTTGAACATTTAAATGCCCATCAGAAGGTCTATGCATTTGGGTGAGGTTTGTGACTGTGGGCTTCAGAGTAGGGTGACTTGGTGAGAAATTTCTTTGGGGAACCTTCCCATATAGCTTTAGGTCTTTTTTGGGGGGTTGGTCAGATTCCTCAGTAAAGTGGTATCTGGTCTTGTGGGGGAGAAGGCTGGGGACAACAGAGGTTCTCAACAGTGTGTCTACTTAATTCCATTTTCAGTGTGATATGCCTATCCTCAGCTGTGCCTGGTGTTCCCTAGACCAAAGTCCCCGTTTCACTCTCTCTGGGAAATAAGCCTCTTACATACATGAGAGAGAGCACAATGGTTTAGCTACACGAAATTGGACAGAGGGTCTAGAGGCAATTCTCAAATAGGCTTTCAATCAACCATCCCCTGGCACACAGTGCAATGCTCGATACTCCTGTCTTCAGGGAGATTCACCTGGTAATCAGGATGCTCAACTTTCTCCATTGCAGCCAAGAATTTGGTTTTCTAAGGTTTGCTCAGTCAGTCCTTGTGTCTCATTGCCTCTTTACTCTTGTTGTAGTGGGTCTCTGGAGAGAGAGAGCTGGATGCAGGCATTCAGCCAGGACTTGCTGCCTCATTGCCATTTCCACTGCCCTTGACTCCAGTAGGACTCCTGCAGGCCTCTTTCTAATCTTGCTGCTTGTCCGCCTAGCTACTATATTGCTATGGAAGTCACCTTTTTTTTTTTTTTTTCAAACACAAACCAGTCATTTACTCAAAAACCTCAATAGCTCTCCATTGCCTATAAAACAATTAAAACTCTTTAGCATAGCCCCGAAGGTCGTGGATGATCTGACCCCAATATCCCTTTCTAGCATGAGATCGTGGAGAACAGTATGAGGACATTGGAACCAAACTGCCTCGATCCATTCTCTGGGCTCTGCCACTTTGCCAGTTGGGTGATCTTGGCCAAGTTACTTATCTCATCAGCAACACAAGGATTATAATAGTACCTGCCCTCCAACATAATGGCGAGTATTATTAGAGCCCTTAAAACAGTGGCTGGCATAGGAAGTGCCATGTGAGTGTTAAAGGAAAGCCTCTTCACACCTGTCTCCTCCAGGAGATTATCAAGTCCTTGGAGAGGGCTCTATCCCATTTAGTCAGCATTTGTGGGACATATAATGGCACAGACATGATGGTATCCACAAACGACTACGTAAAAGGAGCTTGGCAAATGAAGACTGACTAAGGATTAAAATATAATGGGACAAACCCTACAATACAGGAAAGAGCACAGTGAAGAGAATACGAAGCATGTTAAGATCTAATGGTTGAGAACAGTAGGGGAAGGCTTCACAGACCCGACATTTAAGATGGGGCTTGATGAACAATTATGTACGACAAAAGGTTGTGCTAAGACAGTGGGTGGGGGGAGACCCGACAGGTGAGGCTGGAGAAGCAGGTTGGGGCCAATTGCACAAGGCCCTGCATAACCTGTTTGAGTCTGTATTTTGTTTCAACCAGTTTGTCAATTTCACCATCCTAGCATGCTGGGAATGCCAAGACAATTTTGAGGGGTTAAAGGTATTTTGTTACTAATAATAGCTGAAAGGCGCTTCATTGGCAATTATTTAAAAACCAAATTTGAACACATTTCCAAATAATGTTCAAGATGCCAGCCATAAAAGAACACATACTTAATGATTCCCTTTATAAAAAACAAAACCAGGCAAAATTAGTCTATGTTGTTGCAATTTGGGATGGTTACAAGTGGACAGTGACCAGGAGGGGATCCCAGCAGGACTTCTGGGGTGCCAGTAGTTTTTTGATGTCATTACTGGTTCCACAGGTATGCTGTTTATGAAAATCTATCAAGCCATACACTTATATGTGGAACTTGCTATATCTGTTAATATTTCTAGTTAAAAAAATAAATTAGACTCATGATACTTTGTGCTTACTTGGAGACACATTATATGTTCACTTAAAGAGGTGGAGCTACAGGCTGGGAACTCATCACGCCAAGCATCACTAGTTTGGTCTTCGTTTATGGGCTAACTCAGAAGGGCTCTTGGATACTCTGAATGGCCAAGGATAGCCAACATCAGTCACCTTGACCACTAATAGGACTTCATGAGTGTCTGACAAATTGACTTACACCCAAAGGTCAGAGACTGAAATACCAACACTCAGTATACTTAGAAGATGGCCTCTTCCCTCATTTTAGGTCTAACAAGGGGCTGATGGTTCCTTATTAACTTTATAGAGAAACACTGGTAGGTCAAAACCACAACAGTATAAGCATGTCTTTTAAGGCATTCAACATGTATGTACCTTTAGGAGCATAAAGAATCCAGTTTGTTTTTTGCTTTTCTTAAATAAAAGGTTACTTTCACTAAAACAACAAAAATAAAACTATGCACCCAGTTAAAAACAAACAAATAAAAGAGTAAAAAAAGATATGCAACGAGAAGCCAAATCTCCTTCGGATTGGTTTCCCAAGGCAATCAGTTAGGACTTTCTTATATAAATGTTTCGTACACACAAAAGCATATATAAATGTATAGGTGCATTACTCCTGTCCCCTTCTTTTCTTAAACAGATGGGAGCCCTATATATTCACTTGTTTTTTCCTGCAGATCCTTCATCTCTGTAAACATGGATATAACCCATTGTTTCCACAAGTATAAAGTCTTCTATAGAGTATACATGTTATTTAACCAGGTATTTCTGCTTTTTTTACAATGTGCATCGTACATCTTTGAATACACATTCTTTAATATGCTTTTTAAATTATGTAGAAACTGCCCCAATGTATACCAACTGTTACCAAACTTGCTGACTTCTGCATTTCTTTTTTTTTTGTTTTTTAATTTATTTATTTTGAGAGAGAAAGAGAGTGTAAGCAGGGGAGAGGCGGAGAGGGAGAATCCAAGCAGGCTCCACACGGACAGTGTGGGGCCAGAAGTGGGGCTGAAACCCACAAACCATGAGATCATGACCTGGGGTGAAACCAACTGAGCCACCCAGGCACCCCTTGACCTGTGCACTTCTATTTGGTTAACATTAGCATCTCATTGCTGTCTCAGTTAGCAGTCCTCTTTTTAGTTCCACTGATCTTTCCACTTCCACCTGAATGAGTACTAAGCCTGATACAGGGCTCTATCTCATGATTGTGAGATCATGATCTGAGCTGAAATCAAGTTGGATGCTTAGCCGACTGAGGCACCAGGGGCACCTTACAACGATTTTAAATAGAAGTATTATCTAGTGATTGAAAAATGTGTTTTAAAGAATAGACTCCTTTTCACAGAACAGACCATACACCTACATATACAGAGATAGTCACTGAGATTTTAAGTTCTTATGTATCATATTACATGTAAATACCTCAGAGGGAAATAACAAATAACACTGGATTAAATAGTGTCATTTCCAAAACTCACATCTACCCAGAACCCGTGACTGTGACCTTATCTGGAAATAGGGTCTTTGCTGATATAGTAAGATGAGCCCATACTACACAACAGCAGACCCTAATCCAATGATTGGTGTCCTTGTAAGACGGAAACTGGATAGACACATACAGGGAAAACCTCATGTGACAACAGAGGAAGAGACTGGAGGGACACAGCTCCAGGCTGAAGAATACCATGGAGTGCCAGCAATTGCCATAAGATAGGAAGGGGCAGGGAAGGTTCTTCCCTAGAGCCTTGAGAGAAAGCATGGCCCTGTTGACTCCTTGATTATGGACTTCTAGTCTCCAGAACTATGAGAGAATAGATTTTTGTTGTTTGGACCACCAAGTTTTGTGGTAATTTGTTACAGCAGCCCTAGCAACCTAACAAAATGACCAACCCAAATTTGAACCCTGTAAATTTCAAGTGATTTATCAGGTGACTTGGCATTTGATGTATATTTGTCAGTCACTAGGTTACTTCGAAAGGACAAAAAGATAGACTTGATTTAGAGAATGCTTATGAGGGTGTTTTGGTTTTTTGTTTGTTGTTTTTTTACTATTATCTCATTAAGGCACAATTTACATTAGGGAAAAACAGCTCCTGGAAATAAAGTGCTACCGTTTTACAAGGCATTCATACTCTCATTATATATTGCCCTGATACGTTTTAACAACTTTAAAAGTGCTGTGGGATTATACGGGAAAAGATTTTTCTTCTGCAAGCGGTAAACAGCACTTTGTAGCTCCTCAAAGCACTTCAGTGTTTTGGAAGACAGTCCCACTTCAGAGACGTTATTCGGGACTGTATCCCAATCAACGGAGAAGAGAATATTAGATTGTTTGGGAACCAGAGGCCTTGACTGAGGCTCGAGGCTCACTTCTTTTTCATCCCCACTTGTTCCAACTGTGTCCTGAAATTTCTTCACTGCTTCTTGGTGTAAAGATACTTGTTTACTGTTTGCTGAACGCTGGTCTGTGCCTTCTACCTCAGAATCATCAGAGCTGTCATAATCTACCAGACTTTGAGAAGCTCGTGGGGGAGACGGGCTATCAGCCAGGAGCGTGGCGGGGGTCTCCTTGGGCATCACAAGCTGGTTCAGAGGTTTGGAAGAGGCATCAGAAACCCAGGAGCCAGAAGCACGGGCATTTCTGTGATTACCAAGAGCAGCCGAAGGTCTCAGTTCTGTTTGGTTGCTGCTCGTGTCTTGGACAAGTGAGGGGCTACAAGCACAGATATTTATGTTGTCTTTAGATTTGGTTACATCAAAATACTTGCAGATCGTGAAAAAGTCAGTCCAGTCTTTTTGTAGTAACTTTAAATATTTAACAAAATATTCAAGGAAACAGGTTTCTGATGAAATCAAAAAGTCAAGAAGAACTGAAGCATCAAATCCTATATTTTTTAGTAAGAATAAGAAGACGCAGTGTGGATTATAGCCATATTCATGTGTGTGATGGTTGCACATTTCTTTTTCTTGGGTCAAGCTTTCAGCAGCTTTACATTCTCTGAAAATAAAGGCAACAGAGACCTCAGATTAATGACTTTTTACAAAAATAACAGTTTTAACAGATATAATTCACATACCACAAATTCACCTATCGGATTATTTTCTAATCTATGCATTATCTTCAAAGAAAAAAACATCAAAACAATCTCTTCCTCTACAAACTCTATATAATAACCCAAGTCAATAAAATAAGTAAAATTCAGGGACCTTGGCAGTACTAGTTATTGTCTGCCAAAAAAAGTCCTCTGTCTTCCTGTCTTGACATCAGAGTTCCTCACGCCTACAGGTAACTAATTGCATGGAGTAAGGTGGGGGCTGGAGACTGACCTCCTTCCTTTCCCGTGACCCAGACCGCCAGTCAGAGTGCCTCATGCTCCTGGCTACAATGACTGCTTCCTTAGATGAATCTGTGACCCAAGCAGGCTAATCAGATCCCCCCGCTGGGACTTTTGCTAGAGCTATTAACGATTGGAACTGTAAGGCTGGTGTCAGCTGGGCACTGCCAGCAGCCCTGCCTGAGAATGAGTGCAGAGAAGAAGAGCGATGATCAATGACGTGACTGTATCCCTGTGTATACGGTGACGTCTGATGCCAACATGACCCTCTGGAATTTCTAATTTTGAGCTAATAAATTCCTTTTTTTTTTTTTTTTTTTTTTTTTTTTTTTTTTTTGCTTAGACCAGTTTGTGTTGGTCCTTTTACAGCCAAACAATCTTAACAGATACAACTATATTAGGAAAAATACGTAGGGCATGAGCACATGCCTCTCTGGACATAGTGAAATTAAGAAAGTTAGAAATTTAATTCAGAGGCTTCCTCCTTCCTGAGGAGTAAGAAGTCAGCTTTGAGCACAACCAAGATCTATTTTAATAGGCATGTGTGTTTTCAGATTGAATTTGTGTCTCACCGTTTTGGAGCCTAACTCAAATCACATGCAGGAATTTTGTGTTCTTGATTAGAACCTTTTGAAAATTGGCCCCAAACACTTACAGTCTGAAGGCAGCCACTGCCAGCAGGGCCATAATACAAGTCAGAAACTGGCAGCGTGACACTGTGCCGTTGGTCATTAGTAAGAAATCCCTTTCTCTGAAGCCAAGAAAGAAATGGAAATAAGGCAAATACTTTAGGACTTTAATAAAGCAGAGCAGAAATAGTGTAAAAGGTCATCAGTTATTAACTCCGTAGCCGATTACAGCTATTTGCCACGGGATGATATGACCCCATGTGCAGCTGCTTTACTAAAGCAGAAACAGGATCAGCGGAAACCATGTCATCACTAACAAAACTTCATGACCAATTTCACATATTTGCATCAGGTTGGTATCAGCCTCAGTGCAACTGTATACTAAAATAAAAATTTCGAGCTGCTGCTTTGGTTACTTACACGTTTGTACTCACCTTTAAAAAGGTGAAAGTCCTAGAAGCTCATTATGGGAAAGTTAGTCTTGGGGGTGAAAAGCATTTTTGAACATCGATTAAATTAAGGTTCGGACAATGGTACTAACGTACTCCTGATCGCACAGGTGAAACTGATGAAGCGTAACCAGAACCCGAGTTTTCCAGCCCCCTGGTCTGGTTCTACTGCCTTAGATCTGCCTACCCAGCCAAGTTTTCATAATGAGAACTCAAATGTAATCTCATTTTCATGTAGGGCAGGGTTAAAGAAAGGAATTGGAACTTATAAGGAAACCACAAGATTGTTACAGATTTTTTTTTCCCCCCTTAATGATGGAAAGTAAACAGTATGTCCAGCACATTATTAAAAATGTTTTCTGCTTTCCTGGCATGTAGTTACTACAATTACTTTAAAATCTACTGGCCTGATCAACGTTAGGTAGATGCCCAATGATGCTCTGGCAGCTTCCACCATGTCATCGTCTTGTTCTATGAAGACCCTGGAGATCCACTCACATGCATTGTGTGGCTGAAGGGAGGGCTGAAGGTGAGGCTTTAAGAAGGTCAGTAACTGAGCCATGAAATTCTGTAAACCAACTTCAAAAAATGCAAATTTCAAAGAGCAGGCAACAGCTCAGGAATGCATTTATATCTTGCTACATAGAAAGCTATAGCATTTCAAGTATTCCAACATGCATTATCATCATAATTCACACTTTTCAAAAATCCTGTGAGGGATGAGCTCTCTTTTGCAAATTAGGAAACTGAACATCAGAGAAAAAGAAGTGACTCATTCAAGAAGATACAATTAAAATGTACAACCAGATCATCTACTTGCCGCAAGTGCCAAATAATGGATGCTCTCTGAGAAGCAAGAGTTACATGAATTCTTGCTAGAAACATACAAATGAAGGAGTAGCAGACAAAAGAAATCACTTCGCTGGAAGCTGCAGCTGTCTGTTACTAGAAGCGACAATGCAACCAAGAAAAAATCATTTTGCCTTCAAAATAACAGGAAAAAATTTTGTTTAAATATTTAAAGTATTAAAAGAAAGACTACTATCAAGCACAAAAACCAAAAAAGTTTTGGGGAGTTGTAACCGCAATTTAAAACTCTGACTTGTAGAACATATGCCACCTAGTGTTGTAAATTATAACTGCGCAGGGTGAGGATGGTATCTAGGATGTAGTAATTACACCGTAAATGGTCTCCATTCAAAGCAACGCAGGGGCTTACAATTCAAACCGTTCAGTGAAACTATATGTTGCTTGTTTAGAGACATCTACTATTCCTTTTTATCACATGAAATGGAGGACATGTCTTCCGCAACACCTAAATTAAATATTCTACTTTAAACAGAAGTCCTTGGAGTTACGATCCTGAATATTATATGTAACAATTTCTTTTTATTTTTTTTGTTTATTTATGAGAGAGAGAGAGAGAGAGAGAGCGAGAGCGCGCGCACGCGCGCATGAGTGGGGGAGGGGCAGAGAGAGAGGGAGACACACAATCCAAAGCAGGCTCCAGGCTCTGAGCTGTCAGCACAGAGCCTGACATGGGGCTCGAACTCACAAACCATGAGATCATGACCTGAGCCGAAGTCAGACGCTTAACCGAGTGACTCACCCAAGTGCCCCTATATGCAACAATTTCTTAATCAGTGTAACTTCTCACGTTAGTTTCAATTCATTTCCTAGTTATCCATTATCTACATTAGTAGTTACCCCAATTTTATGAAGCAGAATATGAATGAAATAGTACAAATATCTTAACTGAACAGACTTATAGCACCTGCCTTGAGGCGACTCAATAACACCTTTTTAACTTTTGTCATTAATTATACTATATGAATTCAGTTTAGCCCACAAAAAGTTGACTTGTTTCTTCTTTTTTTTAAAGCTTATTTAAAAGAGAGAGAGAGGCAGAGAGAAAGAGGAAGAGAGACACAATCCCAAACAGGCTCTGCACTGTCAATGGGGGGGCTCGAACTCATGAATTGTGAGATCATGACCTGAGTGGAGATTAGATGCTTAACTGACTGAGCCACCCAGGTGCCCCAAAGTTGACATGTTTCTTAAGGGAATTCTAATTCTTTTTTTAAAAGAAAACTTAATAAATTATAACTATGATAACATGTAGATTAGTGAAGTTATAGTCCTAAGATTTGATAATTATGAATTATTTTATATCACTAAACAATTACTCGTCACTTTGCACACAAAAGGAATTCAGAGAATTACCTTTCATTTCATTTGCTGAAGCACAGTTTTGAAACTTGATTTCTAAGGATTTAATGATAAGTAGGCTTGCTGCTCTGAGGATTACATGATCTGGACCAGGGACACGCTCATGTGCAGGTTGAACTTCATCTCCACCGAAGAAGGGAGGTTTTCCGTGGACAGACAATGTCCTCAATAAGCCCAAATCCACAGCTTGCAAAACAGCATCAGCTAAAGCCAACATGTCTACACCTAAATGCTGATCTGGTGGCATCAGGGCAGGGCCAGATCCCCGACACAGATCTTCACCCACTTTCCAGAGAAGGCACTTTTTGATGAATATGATGAACTTCCTTTTGACAAAAGCCTGAACAGGCCAGGTAATAACACCTAGCACACAAGAGGGTTTCAAAAATAAAATCCTCTGGCAAGTGAAATGTAGCTTCAGATGGACTCTGGAAGCTATAAGAAGTTCAAGCAATTCCAGGGAACATATCAAGCTGTTTATTATTTTAGAGGTGTCTTGGCAGCTTTCAAAATGCTGAGAAAATAAGGAATTGTAAAAAACTTCAAAAGCAGTGTCAAAAAGAGTCAGGAACTGCTTTAAAATTTCTGCAATGATAAAAACAGTAATATCAACAACAAGAAAAACAAAGCCTTCTTAAAACACAATTTACAATTCAATTTTTATAAATACTATCACTTTACACGATGAAAAATGGATTTGGATTATTTCACTCATGTGAACAAGTGAAGATACATAGGATAACGGCTAATAAGAGGAGGTTTTTATACACAATGGAATACTACCCAGCCATCAAAAAGAAATCTTGCCATTTGCAATGACGTGGATGGAGCTAGAGTGAATTATGCTAAGCGAAATAAGTCGGTTAGAGAAAGACAAATACATAGGATTGTACTTGTATGTGGAATTTAAGAAGCAGAACAGATGAACACAGGGGAAAAAAGAAAAGGCAAACCAAAAAACAGACTCTTAACTACAGAGAACAAACTGAGGGTTACTGGGAGAGAGGTGGCCAGGGGGATGGGCTAAATGGGTACTGGGGATTCAGCTGGGCACTTGCTGGGATGAGCACTGGGTGTTGTATGTAAGTGATGAATCCTGAATTCTACTCCTGAAGCCAATATTACACTATTTCTTAATTAACTAGGATTTAAATAAAAACTTGAAACAAATGAACAAACAAAAGAATAAAAGCTAATAATCAGGGTTAATTATCCTTTTTACAAATATCAATAGCATCAGACTATGAAAGGGATACATAATAATAAAGAGGTTTAATTTTTGTCTTATGTTTTATTTTAAAAAGGTATCTTCAGTCAAAAAATTTGGAGGGAGAGTCTTTAGTTTTTCATACATGAGGACAGATCAGATGCTGTAAAATAAATTTTAATCTTCATTATAAACATCACGCCCCTTGGGAGCAAAAGAATGGCATTTATGGGGGACCATAATTTGTACCTGTTTTTTGTGAACATGTGTCTTTAAAGATTTCCTTTATTATAAAAGTAAGGGTCCAGAGGCAGTACACTGCTTTCTCATTTTCAGGGTATTCAGAAAGATTTGTCTGGCAAAAAGCAATCCAGGAATTACTTAATGCTATCTACGACAAAAAACAAAAAGTAAAGTTATAACATAAAATTTTCTTTATAATTACAAATTACCTATTATATACAACTCCATATAACATTTCTTATTCTCTTGGGGGAAAAAAAAAGCAGAGTATTTGGAAAACAAGGACACAAATATCCTAATATTCTTCAACTAAAAAATTCAACATGCCATAGAAATAAAATCTCGACAGTGAACATGAAAATATTAGCAGTGATGACTTCTAGGTGGTAGGATAATGTGTGGTTAACGTGTGGTTTTTATTTTGTTCTTTACACTTTCTCCCATTTTCCAGATTTTCTACTACAAATACCACCTTTTTGTATTTAGGACAAAAATGTTGAGAAAACAGCAAGGAATTATAGCTAAAATAAATCAGTAGGTGCTTACATTTATTAACGAATTCTGAGATAAGAGAAAAATCTGATGCTGTTTGTTTGTATTTTTTTTTTTTTTTTTAATATTATGCTGAGGACCATTCTTAGAATTTATTTACGTTAAACCTGTAAAAATGGTCTTGGTCTTCAGCAGGGGTTCCTAAATCTTTCTTTGGAGACAAGGAAGCAGGCCTACCTGCTCCTCTGAGAAGCTGAAGAAAGTTATGGACTGACTTGAAACCCATCCTTGAGGTGAAGAATCTGATTTATAATGATTTACAACATCTTTAAGACTCTAATCTTTGATACAAGTCACTATTATATTACTCCATTCTTACACTTTTGTGGATGTATGTGTTCTTAGGTGAGCAAACATTTTATTGGTACAAACATCTGAAGGGGAAAATCGAGGGCCAAAGAACAATTTTAAAGAAACTATAAAAGAAGTAACATAATTTGATTACTTATCTTACCTCTTCTCTCATTTGGAAATACAGAAGTAGTGCAAGGCACTTGGCAGCCATGTGACATAACAATTTATCCGAGTTTTGGAACATACAGGTCTATGGGAAAACAAATAAGTTTATCCACCATTGCCAAATGTTGTCAAAACTTTTGTCCTAAAAATCTGCATCTAAAGAAAAAAAAAATCCACAAAAAACAACTGGCTTACTAAGGTTGAATCGATGTCAGAGGATTTGAAAAGAATTGTAATTATATCTCTGTATTTTTCCTTTGCGTGGAAGTCAGTTTCAACAGACAATATTCTGGTTATCATCACTTTGATTACTGTTAACTGAAGGAGCATGATTTCTCGGGCGCTGCACGTCGGAGAGTGTCTCTTCAAACACACAGACACTACGGAAATGGTACCCAACGTGGTGCTGGGTGGCTGGTGCCTGCCTTGGACACCACGGCGGTTCGAGCATTCTGGAGAAGTGGCTGTAGAGCAATCCTGAGCTAAAACTGCTGGGTTGAGATAAAAGATGTATTCCTGGCTCTCATTTTCAAGTGTGGCTCCCAGAAGTACCTTCTTGTAGAATTGTTCTAACACTTCAAAAAAAGCTTTCATTTTGGCTGCCAAAATACATCTCATGAGAAAGCTGACGACTCCAAACTGTAAATATTAATCTTAGAAATGCGATGAATCTCTAAGAGGGTTCTTCGGTGAAACCTAAAATAGGAAAAATAATTTTTAAATTACAAGTGTTATATACATCGTAGTACAAGGGAAAGGCATCTGTTTCCACTTAATCATTAGTCTCTCAAAGGTAAGGACGACTGCTTAATTTCTAAAATGGAAAACTGGTAATAAGAACATTATTTTAAGACCATAAAAACGAAATGCATGCTTTCTGTAAGATTTAAGGCCATAAAATTATTTTTAATTTTATCGGAGCAGAAACTTCACCTTCCCTCTAACATTTTTCAGTGGGCCACAGGGCTTCTCAGCCTTGGCACTGACACTCGGGACTGGATAATTTTGTTATGGGGAAGCTGGCCTGCGCCTTGTAGGCGGCATAGCAGCATTCTTGGCCTCTACCCACTAGATGCCTATAGCACCTCCCTTGGGGGCAAACCCACTCAGGCTGAGACCCATGGGGCTCAATTCCAATTCATTAACCTTCATCTCAGGGGCACCTGGGTGGCTTGGTTGGTTATGTGTCCAACTCTTGATCTTGGCTCACTCCGATCATGATCCCATGTTTTGTGGGATCGGGCCCCATATCGGGCTCTGTGCTGACAGTGTGGAGCCTGCTTGGGATATTCTCTCTCTCTCTCTCTCTCTCTCTCTCAAAAATAAATAAATAAACTAAGAAAAAAACACTTTACCTTCAACGTACAGATGAAAACCTAGTTAGATAGTTATGTGGTCAAACTATTGTGGTTATGATGATTAATTCCCAACTTGAATTTAGTGATAATATAAAGATCCTTAGTCACCGCTTTCAACATTTAATAAAAAATTTAAAAATGCCATCCCAAGGAAAAAACAAGATGTTAATAAGCAAAAGTAATCCAAACGGGAGCACACTGTACTTGTAGCTGGATACAACTTTAGACATTCGGGTGTCCCTGACTCTGACACAATGGAGACCAGCAAGAGTGGGGAGAAGGGGTCAGGCATGGCTTATAAAGCAGGGAATATGGACAATCACTGATAGATGAATAGAACAGAAAATATTACGAGTAACAGGAGTATTAATGTAGTTACTAAAGAGCAAGATGATGAGGAAAAATTTAGGATCTTGGCAGAAACTAGAGATTACTGAAAATCCAATGGAATGCTGAACCTCAGGAAATTATCTGATCCTCTGGGACTCAGTCCTTTCATAGCCTTTGAGCTATTTCACACCTTTGTAAGTTGTAGATTACTGATAGCAATGCAAATAATTGTTGTCTTACAACATGCAAATACAAGACTACACTGTATTTAACTAACTTGAGAATAACGGGGAAAAAAAAGAATGTAAAAAAAACCCCACTAAAACGGGGGGGGGTGGGAAGGGGGAACCCCCAAATCATGTAAATAATTGTCTGGGGAGGGGCAACCCTCCCGTCGGTGGGAAAAGCCAATTATGTTTTCTATTTGTAAATTTATTTCCACATTTCTTACTCCATATAAACTCATGTGGCTCTTTAACTTTTCCTCTTTAGGCCAGTTGTGACATTTGCCTAGTTCTTTCATTAGTTAACGAGTTAAATACAATTGCCGATAAAGTTCATTGTGTACTGGTGATGATTTTGTTGTCTGACAATCTACCCTTAAATAAACTCCACAGCCTTGCCTCATCTACTCTGGCCCATTTATAAATGCCCTGCCCATCTTTAACCTCAGTCATCCCTGGAGGAAACCTACTAGGAGTCCTGTCACTTACTTTGGGTTGGTCTCACTTCTACAGTATGGCCCACTGACTTGCCCCTGCCTGGTCTTTAAACCTCCCTCACTACAGGTTTCTTTCCCTGGCTTAGCTTCTAGGGCATTTCAACTCCTGATTCCTACCCTCTCCTCCGCCAAGATAACTGCCTTGTTTTTGTCCTGTAAGTATTAAGAAACCTGTAAATTTTAATGTAAAGTTATGAGTGAAACTTTGGTTAAGTTTCTCTGAATCCTCTTTTCAAACTGTGGCATACATCCCACATCATTTGGAAATGTAAGTAATTATCGGTAACTTTGTTCTATCTGACAAAGTTCAGTGTTATCTGTTACCCTGAACACTGTGCTCCCAGAAAGCAAAAATGGTTAATGTTACAAGAAAGTGCTCACCACATTCCCAGATAGGACTGCCCTCCATGCTTCCTCATTGACTCCCTTGTTTCATAAAAACTCACATTCTCTCCTTCTTCTTTGAGAGGTATTCTATTAATGAACATTCTCCCTTTTGCAATAGCCTGAATAAACTTATCTTCTTAATTGTCTGGTGAGTTCCGTCTGCCACAAATCAGAAACTAGTTTTCATATTCTACTTCAAAGTCCATTTCCATTGTATTTATTTTACTTTATATTTTAGTTACGATAGTAACATTTCTTCCCAATAAAACCAATAACATCTTTTACTTAAGTTGACATAAACTACTGACACTTTTGTATGTCAAATATCCTATGACAATAGACTATTTTAGGTTTTAACTAATAGCACATGTGTGAGTGTATTATAATTTTTAGCCACAAAAGAAATTATTTTTATTTCAATGCTACAACAGTAAAAACACTTCCAATAATATTTCTATATATCTTATAAGTTCTTGAATTTTTACCATGAATGAGACTAAGATTGCTGCTAATCAACCATTTTTGACCTAGGAAAAGGGCCATTTCAGCACTCAAAACTGAAGTGGATACCAGTAAATGAATAAATAAACAAACAAATGAGCAAGTGAGCATTTCGGGGGGGATATGGGCTATTTTCTGTCATAGTGGGACCCAGGTTCTCTGGTAAGCATGGTCGCGAGAAATCAGGTCTAAAAGTTATAAACTTTCAATCAAGGAGAGACATTTTCAAAATGACTCTTTATAGACAGAGGAAAAAACAAAAGCATCAACGGGGGCCCACACATGCCAGGCAGGTGTAGCAGGGCCAAGGAGAGGCTGCCCCGAAAGGTGCCACTTTGGCACATTGATTATTTCAAATAAAAGTTACTTAAGAGATGGCCTGTCAAGAACGCTCAGACCCTCCTCCGCTGTCCCTGCCAAAGCAGGAAATAAATCTCCCATGAGAGGTGTCCTCCCTGTATCAGGAGGTAGAGATGCCCTTACCTCTAGAGATAGGGAATTTAGAGCCAAGAAGGCTGTATAACAACCCTTGTGACTTTTTACTAATTTATTACCCCAGCCCAAATTCTCTTTAGAATTCCTTACTAATAAAAGCTCCCGAAGTTAAGTTTTCTCTGTCCTGTTACTTCTTCACAGATTTATTGTCTCTTTGTCTAAAAACTATAAAAACTGCTTATCTTGGTCATTTCTTTAGGCGTCCTGGTCATTATTGGGCCTCTGTGCACACATCATAAAACTTTTTTTCTGTTAATCCATCTCATGTAAATTTAATTCTTAGTCCTGCTGGAAGGCCTTGAAGCTTGAAGGATGGAGGAAGAATTTTTCCTTCCCTTCACACGCACCAAATGAATGAAGAGGACAGATGCTAGGCTGGTTCTTCTGTGACTAAGCATCAATCTTTCCTCATGACAATGTCTTTTCAAGTACTGGTGCTGGCCAAAGAAACCTGCACTGAAACAAACGTCTGTGAGCAGCCTGTGGAGAATGATAGCTTTTTTTGTGAAAGGAATTATAGTATTACATGAAAGGACAAATCCTGCAAAAACGAACTAGGGGATTTGACCAACCACACTTTTTCCCCCTGAAGTGTCATTCCAAGGTTGGTACGTCTCAAGCTCATTACCAGCCTGGGCTGGAGGAAGGCGTACCCCTCAGACAAGCTTTTGAGCAAGCCATGCTAGATATACGTGAGAAATATGTCTAGCTTGAGAAGGAAACAAATATTAGGAAAGGTCTGTTTGGGACAGTAAATGGGTAGTGTCTTTCAAAGAGTTTTTTTCAGAAAAGGCCTCTTGGCAGAGGAGAATGAACTCCACCACCAGACTCCCTAAGGGAATACCTAGTATAAGCATAAAATTTGCCTCCAGTCTCTCTTTTACTGTTGAAGTGCTATAAATGATTTGAATTGTGTATTCTATTCCTAATAAACTGTGTTTGTCTTAATATAAAAACAATATATTCCCACTCATCTTCACATAAAGTCGATGCTTTGGGAATAATAATTGTTAAAGTTTACTGAGTGCCTACTATGTACCAGACACTGATCTAAGTGAGTGATAGTTTCACAACAGATTTATGAGGTGGATAATTATCATACCCATTTTACAAATAAGTAAATTAAGGCAAGGAGAGATAAAGTTAAAGAGTTAAGTGGCAGAGTCAGGATTTGAACTGACAAAGTCTGATTTGAAAGCCTGGGGTCCTCCTCAAATTTTGTCTGATGCTCCAAGCCTCAGGACAATGGATGAACAGAGGAGCTCTAATAAGCTTCCAAATCGAAAGCTTTGTGAGTGAAAATTCACACAGACTAATCTTCAACACTTTCTAGATTTTCTCCCATAATACTGTAAAGCAGAATACCTATTCTTAGAATGATTTTCATATGCTGCACAAAATCTAAACTCAAGGTCAATTACCAAACAACTTCCCAACGCAAACCAAGATTACTTTTTTCAAAAGACACTCAGCAACCAAAGGTTAAAACACTAATCAGGACATCCATTTGATTGAATTTTTATATTAAATTACTTTCAGAAGATACATCAAACCCAAGATGAAAAGCCAAAGTATCCACACATCATATATCAACATCAGCCTATCAACGGTTAAAGGCGGTATAAATATGAGTGATTAAGACCTTGATTTTACTTCACTTAAAATAGTTTCAACTCTTCACAAAAACTAACTCAAAATGGATCATGGGCTTAAGACTTAAAATAAGACTTTAGGAAAAAAGAAAAAAATAGGAGAAAAATATTTGGGATTCAAGGTTAGGCATAAAGTTCTTAAACTTGGCTCCAAAAGTACAGTCTATAAAAACA